AAAAAAATCCTGCTTTCCGTCAAGGGCGTTGCTAACTCACGGTATTGCCTACAAAAGAATAACCATCCCCACAGCACGCTTAATTCTATCTGAGTTCTGGCTAATACAGTGTATTCAGCAAACAGTCTGAAGGTTCAATGTTGAACACAGGCCTTCTGATAAGCACTCCTTTTCATTGAGAAAATACATTCCTATTGTGGTGATCCATGGAAATAAATAAAAAACCTTCAATATAAAAAGAAAGCCGCCAACCCACCTCTGCTATGAGCTCTCTCTGTATCTTCAGTTGCTCGTTCAGCTCGTCCTGCTTCTCTTCGAAGGAGATGCGGCAGCAGCGATGGCTGTTTTTGATTCTGACGCCCCAGTAGTTTATCTCCTCCAGGAAGTTGTGGGGACACAGCTCGTCTTTAATGTACAACACTCCAGTTCTGATGGAGAGGACAGAAGAACAGGTCCATAATGATCCCATTGAGAAGAGGAAAGCTCACTTCTTTCATTGAACAACACGTCTTATTTTCACCTGTAGAAGTTGAAGATGTTGTGGAAGATTTGAGGGTCCCGGTCGAAGAAGAACTCGTTGCTGTGCACGATGTAGTCGTCACACAGATCCAACTTCCTGCTGTGGTCCTTGTACGTGGCCAACTGCCCGATCCGTGTCTTTGGATACTTGGCTGCTAACCTGTAGGGCACGTGGTACACCTGGAGGAGAGGACGACAGGATACAATCAGGGGAAAGGAAACTCTAAATAATGACAAGTAAAAGGAGAATTTAAGTCGTTAAAGTGAGACTGGAACACATTTTAAAATGGTTATGGAGACCGGAAAAATACACTTCATAATGAATGACCTTTGGAAATTACAACTGTCTCCATTCATATGCCTCTCATTTATCAGCTGAAACTACATAATACCTCTACTGAAAAACAAATATGTTCCTTTTATTGTCCTTGAAACAAATTATTTTTCGTGTATCAAATATATGGGTGTTGAAAATGAAGTCAATCTGGAAGTGCATTAAATGTGCTTTGCAAAAATAGGCCTGATTGGACCCCTTATTTGATTTATTAACTCACTATACATATTCCTAATGAATTGATTGTCTCGATAGCTAGTTTCAAGTCTTCTTCAATTCAGCATGGTGGAGTTAAATGTTAAAAATAACTTTCATGAACAGGAAATATTCTGTGAAACTGAAATGGGTTAGTAAATCAAGCAGGAAGTAGGGTCGATTTCTCCTAAAAGGCGGTATCATATAACTTGTAAGCACCGTTAGATAGAAGTTGAGTAAAGTTACCGTTCCTCCGACGTTGATGTTGAGATTGAAGTGTTTGGTTGGCGAGAGCAGGAAGTGGGAGGAAGTCACCGGCAGCCGGTCCTCCTCATCCTCACTTTCATACTCAGCATACATATCATAGATATCTCTGCCCAGCTCCTTCACAAATAACACCAAGGTTCATGAATGCAGCACTTTAAGCTTAGAACAAGGTGAATGAGACAATAAGGTAACGATTAAACTAAGCACAATACAACTGAGACATAACTCAAATATTTTAACATACATTCAACCACTGGGTTACTAAACAACAAAAATAACATCTAATAATCATATTGTATACCTTTGACTATTACCTGCAGGATTTATTTCCTTTATGGATTATTTCTGCGTGTTACACTTAACCAATTAGTTGAATAACTGACAGAAAATGTATCTGGTTGTTTTTCTTATACATTCTGTATTTTATTTTCTACTGTTCTTTATTTTCCAAGTTGTTTTTAAGTGAATAATAATCCACAATATTCACATCCAATAGATCATAAAAGGAAAACGTTCTCTCCTCCTAGCTTCTCAAATGGGTCAATTTGCTGCTTTTCTTGGATGTATAGCTTTGAATATTTAATATCTTTAGGAGCTAATGTTAGGCAATAAGAGGATATTAACAGACTATGTTGATATCCTCAGATTGCCATGTTGAACATCAGCTCTGCAACATTGATCAATACAAACATCTGTAAGAGCTAGCCTTTAATATAACCAGTGGACAGTGACCTTGAAACAGTGACAGTTGACCTTGAAACAGAATCACTTGTCAATAACAGGATATTCTTGTATTTTGAACATTTTAAATATACAGTTTCTGTGTTCTACATTTCTGAATATACATTTATTCGGGTAAATTACATTGGGGTGTGATTTGTTTTGAAAGCAAGGGATAAATGGAGGAACATTTAACTCAAAATAAAGTTGGAGTGTCTGACCTGCATGGACCTCCATGGCTTTACAAAGTCCAGATAGTCGGCCTGGTCTTGGAGCGCCTGAGCCCCCCCGCCGGGCTTGTAGCTGGGGAACAGACTCCTGCTGCGAGCCCTGATGTGGGTCAACATGTCGCTCAATGTCTTTCAAACCTAACATCCATCAACCTGTTTGTAGAGACATCCTGACCAAACACACACACACACCTTGCAAATGTGCACAAAACCTAGGTCACACACACAAGATGCACAAATGAGTAACCAGGCATTCAAAGACGGGACATGTTTCCACCTTAAGAGGAATCATGTCAACAGACATACAGCTAACACACACACACACACATACGGTTATGAGGTAGGAAGTGACTGTGGTCCTGCCGCACAGCTGACGAGATGATCTGGGTGCTTAAAGTGTTATCCTCTTTTATCCATCTCGTGATCTCTCACTCCTCCCACTTACTACATCTCATACATTTACACATCTGGCTATCCTGGCATAGACGGTAAATATAGTCAATATAACATTTATAAATCATAATTGTCTTTACAGGATAGGTCAGATTTTAATAGTTTAATAGTTAAATTAAGCGCTTGTCCAAGAGGAAGATTTTAACCGTGCAACTTTATTTCTTAACACTGAATTGTTATTTGACTTGGTTGTTCAGGGTTAAGGTAAATAAGCACGTATATTAGAGACATTGACATGGTTGCATGTACATTGAGGTAAAAAGCACATTTTGGACTTTAACAAAAAATACATTTTGAAACAGTCAAAATACAAATTCGCCATATTGTATTTTTTTCCCCAAATAATGATTGGATTATTTTATATTTTTTATATTAAACAATACTGAAAAGCTAGCTAAGCCTCTGCTGTCAAATGTGTGTATGGATTTTACATGAGTGGGTCATTTCAGTCAAATGTGGTTCTTTTCATGTTTTCAATGTCACAAGTTGACTTTGGCTGCTGGCTTATTAAACATGTTGATATGCAGTCACTGCCCCACAGCCCTTTGTTTATAAACCTTAGACCTTCATAAATGACATCTGCCTTAATCCAAGTGTGTGTTTGACGTATTCTGTCCGCCTGATAACTCCGATAGGTGGAGATTAATCCGTGCTGCAGTTAAACGGGATAATGACCAGACGGAGCCGCACAAATACAAACGATTTATCAGCTCTGCTAAGGTCTCTCTAACACATTTTTAAAGGTCCCCTATTAAACAGTTTTTCATCAATATATAATAGGTCTCAGATAAGGGGGGGGGGGTTACCTTGGTTGCTGATTGGCTAATGGTTACACAAGCCAACACATCGTTATGACATCATAAAGTGGCCAAAATCTGATCAACTCATTTTCAGACAGGTTTTTATAGAAATGGATCAGGACAAAAAGAGAGAGAATCTTTGTTCCTGAAACTTTCAGAGTCTCTTTCCACAGAGGGGACACATGTTGATGTAGAAGAGACATGAAGAAGAGGGGACACATGTTGATGTAGAAGAGACATGAAGAAGAGGGGACACATGTTGATGTAGAAGAGACATGAACAAGTGGATCTAGCCTATAGTTGACCTTTAACTTAACATGACTCCTTGCGATTGTCCCAGATTAATCATCCTGCCTTCTTTTTTTTGTTGCACTTTTATTCTTATTACACAGTAGCCTACAGGTAATGAAATGGTTTCTCTGCATTTGACCCATCCTCGTGTTAGGAGCAGTTTAAGTTAGCATTGATCCTAAAGATATGTTTTTCTTTCATATGCACAGAGATGTCAGCTAAATTATTAAAAAGACGCTCCATATTAAACATCTTATTGCTCCCTTGTCAAAAACCAATGGGATTCGCTATATGGCAGGAATTAAGTTTTGTTTTATTACACTTAAATGTTTTGTTCCAACTCCTTTCTGGGTTTTAGGGACTCATTCCTGCACCACTTTGAAGAAATCATATTTGAGGCATTGTCCTCTTGAAGTTAGAAACACAATATTGTCTTATTCCAGATATTACATCGCATTGCATTTAGCTGACGCTTTTATCCAAAGCGACTTACAGTACATTCGACCAGGAAGATACAACCTTGAAGAAAACAGAATCATAAGTACATCAGGTTTCATAGAGCCAAACATTTCAAGTGCTACTCAACTGGCTTTAGATAAGCCAGCCCTTTATTAGTATATAAGTGCTTTGTTAGTAATTCTATCGCTCGAAGTGGAGTCGAAAGAGATGAGTTTTCAGTCGTCGCCGGAAGATGTGTAAGCTTTCTGCTGTCCTGATTTCAATGGGGAGCTCATTCCACCATTTTGGAGCCAGGATAGCAAACCCACGTGTTTTTGCTGATGGGAACTTGGGTCCTCCTCGCAGTGTGGGTGCAGCGAGCTGTTTGTCCGATGCAGAGCGGAGTGCACGTGCTGGGGTGTACGGTTTAACCATGTCCTGGATGTAGGAAGGGCCAGACCCATTCGCAGCATGGTACGTAATTACCAGTGTCTTGAAGTGGATTTCTAGCAGTTACCGGAAGCAAGTGAAGGGAGCGGAAGAGCGGTGGGGTGTGGGAGAATTTAGGAAGGTTGAAGACCAGACGAGCCGCTGCATTCTGGATGAGCTGCAGAGGTCGATGGCACATGCAGGTAGACCAGCCTACCAGATATGAGCGTATTCTTAGCATCGCTGGACAGTAAAACCCATGTCAGTGTAGACCCCTCTCCATTTAGTATCCTCACAAACACACAATCGAGAAAAGCCAAGACGCCATGTTTTGAACAACGTTGTGGATTAGGTTTTAATTCTCAAGTGATTCTCAGTTTCTTCACAGTTACAGAGCGTTTACCCTCTAATAATATCCCCCCCCCCTCACTGTACAAGGCTAGAAAAAGTTCACAGCAACAGCACACAAACATACAAAATAGTTTTACCAAATTCAGTAGTTATTTTTTTCTGCTTTTTCTTTGTTAAATACATTTGAACTCTAACCCTTGTACAATGCCCAACCATAGCAAAAAATTAATTTCAAGTCAAATGTATACAATCTTATTTACACGAGGAACATTTGATCAAAGTGCATCGAAGAGAGTCCTGATTGACGGTAATGTCTTTGAGGGATAATGGGTAAATATATATACAATGTTTACAAATGCTGTAATTGTGGTGATCTTACAAAGCCTATATAATAATACTCATAATAAACATTGGTAGAAAGAACAGCTCGTCTGAACAGCTCGTCTGAATGCACTCCAGGAGGAAGAGTTGGAAAGAAAAAAAAAAATGCAAATGATCTTGGAAAATAAATATGAACACATCTGATGGATAAGAGGAGGGAATCAATGAAGTTTAGATCAATATCACCCATGATTCTTTTTCACCCTGCTCAACTTAGAATATGATCGAAAGTGTCTTGAATACGCCATTTAATACTGAGAGCTCAGATCCAGTTTGAAATCCTGTCCAGCAGTAGATCTGTTAGCAGAGAAGTCCTGCGTCCTCCTGTCAGTTGGAACACAGGAAGTCCAGTCATTTCTCTCGGGGGCAAAAACCAGGAAGCAGTGACCCGAAAAAGGGGGAAATAATCCTTATCACATGGACGAGTGAAAAACAGTTATGGACACGTAATTCATTGCAGTATTCACATAATAAATAACAATTCCTCAAGTCATCCTCTCCAAAGATAACGCACTTCAGAAGGCATGTGGTCGTACAGTAAGGGCTGCTGCGACGGAACCGTAGGCATGGTAACGAGGTTTCGTCGTGCAACACTACGGGCCGCAGGAAAGAAAGAAAAGCAGGAAGATCATGATAAATCGTCCTCTGTGCTCACGATGGAAATCTGGAGACAGAAGAGGGAAGGGGAGGACAGAGAGACATTATTCAAATGTTTTGATAAGAGATTTCTTTTGTGGTGCGAGGTACTTCTCCATTGTCTACATACAGAAGATGGCTGTCTAAATAGTGGAGTAGCTGCATCATTGTGTGAACTACATGTAGAATATGCTCTTTGCGTTACCTTGATGTTCAGTGGGCTTTTTGGGCGGTAACTGGAACCGGTCCCAATGCGCTCTTTAAGCCAACCAGACATTTCACCTCTTAGAACATGTACAGTCCTTTTTGTCAGAAGTAGTCCGGTTGCTTTAAAGAGCGCATTGATGACTGCTTAGGTTCCTCAAATAACATATCCGTGACACAGGGTAAACTTGAACTGATGTTTTTAGGTGGCTAAAGTAAGATGTACTGTTACCTCTTTCCACTGTAGCATTACTCAGCTTTCTGTTGTACTCCGGTCTGTTTTTCTAAACTCAGAGCGTGCCGACCGCCATCTACTGTAACGTTATACACTGACTTTGGATAAGAACCTTGAATGACCCCGATTCAAGAAATGTAAAACCATTGTTGTAATACTGGAGGCAGGGAGAAACATCTAGGCTGGTTCTGTACAGAGAACAACGTATCTAAAGTTCACACATATCTTGTTTGTTTAACTTGCAAAGCACAGGAAATATAAAACAACATTTTTCTTCAGTTGCTTTCTGCCTGCTGCAACTGTGAGGAGAATGAGGTGTGTGTGTGTGTGTGTGTGTGTGTGTGTGTGTGTGTGTGTGTCCATATTGTGCCCTCTGGCCCAGTTAAGGCTAATCTCTTTAATCTGTGTACCAAGAGATGTGCAATAATAAGACTAAGGATTAGTAAAGGCCACAAGGTCATGATGCAGGTGAAGGTCATTGACATCAAGTCTCCATCCTGTGTTAGGATGAAATTAAACCGCCAATGAAACCTTACAACAGATTATTTGGTATTTAATTATTTTTGAGCTAAACAAGGAGCTTTTGGTGATTATAGGGTTGCTGCGTGTGAGGCATTGAGTGGATTCCAGGTCACCTATTCTCTATCAATAATGAATTGATTAGTCTGTTTTGGGATTAGTACATAGAGCCTTGATCCATTTTACCCATGATGCCCTTGGCTCAGCGGTTGTTTACTTACCGCAGGGTAGGTGTGACCCACGTTGGCGCCGTGCCGGGTGATGTCGATGTTGAGGTCTTCTTCTGTGGTCTTGAGATAGACGGGGTTGTCAAAGTTCATGCTCTTCTGGTTCCTCAGCTGCCAGTTCCTCCACATCAGGTATCCACCGGCCGCTGCCATCGCCAGCAGCACTGATCAGGACACAGGTCAGCCGTCAGACACACATTCATTAGGGGCTATCTGGGTGTTTGTATGCAACGCATGAATATCTTTGGGGGACTAAAAAGTGGAATCAGTTACGTAACCCTAGGTTCACATCAAACTTTGACGTTACTGTTCTTACAACATTGATGTGGTAGCCGTGATTGTTCCAGAGTTCTTGAATAGTCATACACAGCCATTAAAGCAATTCCCACTCAACCCTATTTTAAAAAAGGACACATTTCAAGCCAACTTAAGTCTACTGATCGCATACATTAGTATGATTAACTTTAGACATATGTTACTAATCAAGCAAGGTTCAATCGATTCATCAGACTACCTACGCGAGTGTGAGAGTGTGTGTGTACTCACAGACTGGCAGTATGGCCCAGGCAGCAGCTGACCCTCTTGCTGGGGAGTTCACCTGGATCGACGTGCTCACGTTGGCTTCTGGAACACAAAAGGCTTCTGTAAACACTTCAAATCCAACACACCAATAGGTTTCCACCCTCTTCCTGCTCTGTACGATATCTCTTACACTTGTGTATTTTAAATTGTGCAATACATTGTGTTAGTCTGACATTCAACTGGGACAGGTGTGAGGGGTCTGGAGAGAGGGGAGTTTGTCTTTGAGGTTCAAGAAGATGGCTTGTTTGTTCACCACTAGCAAAGTAGTGATCTAAAATAGGGGAGTGATGTCTCTGGGGAAACAGCACCACAATGATCGAAGCTATTCAAAGTCCAGATTATGTTTAAATTCTTTCATTAATAAGATAGATAAAAGTCTGGATACAGACCGGGAACCGTTTGATTTGGAGATAATGTAAGCTGCTGTAAAACCGAGCTGGCATTTTCACAACCCTCAAAGATATTGACAGCGTGGCCAAAACGTTACTACAAATCTTAAACTTGTTACATCAGTGTGTAAATGAAGTTTCCATCCCACCCCAGGCAAACATCCTGCAGTCTGAGCAGGCCGGAGTGTTTCGGTGTCAGTGAGTGACATGACTGGCAAACAGCTCGGCTGAAAGAGTTCAGGACAAAGAGACAAAAAGCAGGGTTTGTTAAGTCGTGTTCTTCCTGCTAGTCAGTCTGATGCCAATTAGCCTTATGATGTCATCAACATGAGTCATAGGCGAAAAGACCCAGAACCTATTTTTTTTTTTCCTAGTTTCCATGGATGAAGAAAACATTTAAAGTTAGCTATGTAAGTGTAAAAGCTTGCAGTCATCATGAATGGCGAGACACTTCCTCTTTTCAGCCACCAGGTGCTGCTCTCGGGCTGTGCTTCAAACTGGATATATATCATTTACCATCAAACATTTCACTATCAGATGACTTCCTACAGCAATAAAGTATCAGAGCAGATTAAAACCTCCACACAATGTGCCGGTGGATCTGAACTAAATCCTGAGCAGCAGGGAAACATGGATAGCTTTTAAAATGGAGGGACTAACTACATTAGTCATGAGAACAAGCTATAATCAGAAACACTCATCAGAAAACGTTGTGTCGCTCATTAGGCTTCCTGTTTCTAATTCAATCACCGACTGCATTTGGACAAAGAGGATTAAGACAAAGTTAGTGAGCAAACACTTCATGCAGGTTTACTAATCAAATGTAAACCTAGTGAGTGCAAAGTATTACCAAACACTTTAGCTAAATCAGTTTAGGTCGAGCCAGACGTATGAACTCCAGACAGACAAAGCACGTATAGGTGTTAGGCACACACTGAAGCAAACACCATGAACACAAGTCAATCATTACTGAGGAATGGTTGAAGCCTCCTTGATTAGACTGTCCTTCTCACAACAGCTGTGTGAAGAGTACTGGACTCACAATATGGAAAACAGAGCGATACTCTGATCACAGCACAAAGCCTGACAACTTGAGTTGAGATAACAACAATAATAACAACGCGTACAAAGCATACACATTGTGCAGTGAGATTGAGACGAGCTCATAAGCCAACACAAAAGGGGACACATGTAGCCTGAGCAAGCATTTAGTTACAGCATCAGGTTGTAGGGTGAGTTAAGTGTTCAAGAAACAATGAATTAGCTTAACTTCATATACTGAAGTTTAGTATTAAACCCACAGCTTTCAGGTCTGAGTAATAGACCAGTGGACAGCTGGGATGGAAATCCCTCTTGAATACCTCAGGCTACTAACCATGTGCTACAAATTAAGTTTAAACAGACTTTAATCGGTTTATCTTTACTGCACTAAGCCCTAAAACACATCTGAAAGTGCGTTATGAAACGACAACACTTAAGCATAAACGGAAGCTATTATTAGAGAAACGCTACCAGCTAAAGGACAAACAATTCTAAAAATCAGCATACGGCAACGTGGACACAAGGAGAGGTTACCATTTCATTTTGTGACAGAAAGCCCGATTGGAGGGTAAATGTTGGAAGAAGAAAAGCCAAATAAACTAACTACATAAAGCTGCAGACACATAATTAAAGACAGATGTACAGCTTAACAATTAAGGTGGAGAACCCAGTTAGGAAGGAGGAAACCTGTTCATTCGCTTAGTAGAAAGCCCAACATGCTTTAAAGAGAGTCAGCAGAGCAGGCAACAGCGCATGGTTTTACCTGAGGGTGGTTGTGTTAGAGCTTTCCCATCATCCCTTGAGTGACCTTTGGCAGAATGGTCTGTCACAGAGAGAGAGTCATTCTTACGACATGAAAACAGATCAGGCTGCAGAAGTTGTCCTAGTTTTAAACCGCACACACTCACAGTAGGCTTCTTTGAAAATAGACCAGATCTCAGGGGACTAAACTAGTAAATAAACGCTCGACAGATGAAAGCGGGATCTGTTTCTTGTTCACCGAGAAAGCCGCAGACGCTTTAGCAAAGAGACGAGACATACTTCCATAACACCGTCGACACTATACACAAACGGCAGCATATTTACATGGAGACAATGCATGTGGTTTTCCGGTTCGATACAACAGTTAAAGCTAGACACACACAAAAGGCTGAAAGAGTGAGAGGGCGACATTCAGAAGACAGAGGTCTAAAACCACCGTTAACTATTGATCAATGTCTCCATCAGCTTCTGGACAGCAGGAACAGACGGCTGCAGCAGCAATAAAACATGTACAGGTCGATGGATGCAGAGGCAGCGGAGTGGTGCTTTGTTTACTGTGAAACCACAGGCCTCTGGGGTCTGCTGTGTGGGAGTCGCAAATGAATGCATATCATACTCACTGCCAAACAATATAATGGTAGGCGCAGTCGAACTCAAAGTAGAAGCCGTTATCTACAGGACATTATACTGAGACAACTGATCAGAAAGATGATCACCAGAACAGCACAGTGTAAATCATTTCAGTCATTCAATCAGTTATTCATCAAGTAAAATGAGCAATTATTTAGTTTTCACAAATTAAGCATTGCAGTTTAAAAACACAAAAGCATCAAAATCGATTCAGCAGAACCAATATACCTAAATTATATATACCTACATTATATATATACCTACATTATATACAGGACTGTCTCAGAAAATTAGAATATTGTGATAAAGTTCTTTATTTTCTGTAATGCAATTAAAAAAACAAAAATGTCATACATTCTGGTAGTTCTATTACAAATACAACTAGAAATAATTTGTCCAAGACCTTTTTACTTTTAATTTTTNGGCATATCAAGATGCTGATTAGACAGCATGATTATTGCACAGGTGTGCCTTAGGCTGGCCACAATAAAAGGCCACTCTGAAACATGCATTTTTATAAAGCAAAAATGCATGTTTCAGAGTGGCCTTTTATTGTGGCCAGCCTAAGGCACACCTGTGCAATAATCATGCTGTCTAATCAGCATCTTGATATGCCACACCTGTGAGGTGGGATGGATTATCTCGGCAAAGGAGAAGTGCTCACTATCACAGATTTTTTCAGATTTGTGAACAATATTTGAGAGAAATGGTTATTTTGTGTATATAGAAAATGTTTTATATCTCTGAGTTCATCTCATGAAAAATGGGAGCAAAAACAAAAGTGTTGCGTTTATATTTTTGTTCAGTGTATACAAAACATGTCTGTGAAGTTTGTTTTTCAAAATACCAAACGGATCATGCATTTTAGCCATGCCTCATTTAGCTCTATTTGCTCTTTTCCAGCCCTGTTTTTGCAAGGGCTGATTCTGCTTTTGTGGCAGACTACAGCGCCACCTACAGGCCTGGCATATGTACTACAGCGTCTCCAGCGCTTTCGAGCGGTCTCTCATTCCCCTGATAGGTGGAGAGTTGCCCATATAAGCGGAGCACCCCTTTTCTGACGTCAGAAAAATTAGGTCACAGGCTCCTCCAACAGTGCAACTAAAATTGAAAAACAGAGCATACTTGAGGCAGTTCTCAGTGGAACAAAAAAATCCCCTCAAAACTAAGTAATAATATTTTGTACTTTTTCTCCCTCCAGTCTCCTTATGTAGTTCTGCAAATAAAGATACCAAGAGGTCTCCACCTTCGGGCTGCCGTGGTTCAGCAGTCTATGTTTTGTATTTGTACCTGTGTGAGATTGAGTTGGCAATCTGCTGGCTGACCTACATTATAAATCACCGCTCCGCCTCGCCGTCTTGACAGATGGAGAGCAGAGAGTAAGCTTTTTTTCTTGGCACAGGTTCGGACAGATGTTTCTATCACAGAGGTCCCACGCTCATGCAGTTTGCGTAACAGTTTCTCTCCCGTTGTGTTTTCTTGGCTCACGAGTTGGTGTGTTGAATTCCTTCAGTCCTCAATCAAAAGTGTCCTTGGGAAAGACATGGAGACCAAAATGACACCCAAAGGCAGCAGTGTGTGAGCATGTGTAGACAAGCATTAGATAAGAACCTGATAAGCCTCTACCATCAGTGTGTGAATGTGTGTGTGAATGGGAGACATTTGGTAGTGGGTTGATGTAGGTCTATAAAATTGATATTTGACAATCAGTTTCAGCTTCTTTAATTTAATTTAATTTAGTTTTTGATCTGGACATTTTGGTGGTTTTGCCATGGCTTCTTCTCTGTATTTGAACCGAGGATTATTCTTCATTAAAGTCATATTATTGGCTGTAGTTGGCACATTTTCAAAAAGATATTTCCTATTCTCTGACCCGGATGTATTTCTGTCCCTTCCAGATGGAGGAGGAGGAGAACGAGGTGTTATTCGACGGCTTGGTCTTCGGGCCGTTGCGGAAGAGTATCTGGAATGTCATGGAGAGGCCGTTCTCCTCCGTCATCGCCAAGCTGATGGGCATCGCCTCCTCCCTTTTCGTGCTCGTCTCTCTGGTAACCATGGCGCTCAACACCGTGGAGGAGATGCAGTACGAGGTGTGTGTTTTACTTTGTGTGTGTGTGTGTGTGTGTGTGTGTGTGTGTGTGTGTGTGTGTGTGTGTGTGTGTGTGTGTGTGTGTGTGTGTGTGTGTGTGTGTGTGTGTGTGTGTGTGGTGTTGTGTGTGTGTGTGGAAGAAGGGTATAAAAAAATGCATTCTCAGCAGGTTAATGAGAGTTGTCAACGTTTCTGATTGCAGGCTGTATTATAGAATGTATCTGCTTAACATTAAGAAGGAAAATAAAAAAACAATGTGGTAAAAACTATAAAATAATAATACAGAAAGAACAAAACGTGCATCTGCGTGTCAGTTAAAATCTGATATCTTACAGACCTAAAATGACTATAAGGGTTAGTTCATAAACAAATGTATGACTCGGAATTTTTTTTCTTTTTCATAGACTTCTGTACAATCAGTCTTTCTGAAACCATATGCGTTCGAGCTGTTAATGAGAGAAAATGTACAAAGTTATAATCTTGATAGGTCCATAATTATGTAATTGTGTTTTTCCATGTTGATAACCATAAGAGTATCACAGTATTATTAAATCCAGCGCTTATAATTCATTATGTATCTCCTTCAAACAAATACAAGCAGTCAACCAAAAACGGCATCTGAATGAAAATCTGACATTCAAAAAATAATAAATTCACACTTGTAAAATAAAACAGGCCTTTACATAAAGTCACCTACTGATACTGTTTTTCATAATATATTATAGGTCTCAGATATATACAAACATGTCTCTGAAGTGTTGGCTCCCAAATAACACCAAACAGATCTGCAGCATTTACCCTAATCCCCTCTGTCAGCCCTGTTTCCAAAGTTACTGAATCCTCTGTCTGGTACTTAGATAAAATAGAGGGAGCCCCTCCCCACTGTCTCTGAGAGACATTGTTAAAGGAACTCAATGGTGCTCTAGAGGAGATCATGGTGATAAGGGGGGGGGGTTACCTTGGTTTCTGATTGGCTAATGTTACACAAGCCAAAACATTATTATGACATTCATAAAGTAGCCAAAATC